CTCGTTTCTTGCATCACCTGCGCGCCCCGCGGCTCTGGCCTGGGTTCAAGGGCGCGTGGTATTTAAATGTGCACGAGGCGGAGGCGTCCAGCTGGGGGGGGGGGGGGGGGCGGTTCTCCTGCGTCCCCAGCTCTGCGCGCAGAAATGGAGACAGCAGCTCCAGGCCCCTGGCCCTGAGCGCGCGGCTCCCCCGTCGGTATTTTTCCAGAGCCCAAACCTGGGGACTGGACCCAGGGGTCGCTGTACCGCGATGGAGCCCCATCCCCTGCCCCTTTTTGGTATCTTAGTTGCAGACTGGGTCTCCCCGAGTTGCTTAGTTAGTTCCCAACTACCGTTGCTGAGGCTGGCCTCCAATTGCAAACCTCCTGCCCCAGCCTCCTGAGCCCCTGGGATGACACGGGTGCAGGTCTTTTTTCCCCAAGGTGTGCGGGGAGGTGGCCCGGGGAGCTGAGAACGGGAAGCACCCAGATGGCCGCGGGTTGGACTCTCTGTCCRGCACCCACTCCTCGGGGCGCAGGTGTTTCCTGCTGATAGATTCGCTCGCAGGGTGCGCCCCGGGGCCAAAGGGCCAACGCCCGCTCTGGGCAGCCCTGAGGGTCCCTGAGGCTGGTCCTGGGAGCAGAGGGCGCCCCGGGGCCGCCCGGGAGCCCGTGCAGGGTCTGCGCTGGACGCAGAGACCCCGGCCCCTGCGTGGATTTTAACAGGCTCCTTCTGCCAACGGAGAGCCACGTGCGCCCGGGTGGCTGGTCTGTTTGGTTTCACTTTCCTGCTTCCTAGGGCGAAGGCCTTTTCCTCCACCCCCCGCCCCCAGGCAGAGGGGAGGCATGTGCCTTGGGACCCCTGAAATGACCCCCAGAGGGGCTTCGGGAGCCCCCTCGGCCGGGTGGGCACAGAGAGCGTCCCTGTTCGGCTCCCGGGCGGGTCCGTGCGCCACCTGAACGCAGGATTGTCCGGCCCCGAAGAAGGTGGCCCTTGCAGATCAGTAGAGGAAAGAAAGGGCGGACAGTTGAGTCCAAGTCGGATCGCGCGTGGTCAGCAACCCCCCGGGGGGACCGGTCACTCCGCTGGACAGGCGGGAAACTCAGCAGGGGCTGAGGCTGCAGAGGTGCTGGACGCGTGGAGGTCTTCTCCAGGGGACGCCAATGTGTGGCCTTAGATCCTTGGAAGGACCTGATCCCCCCCGTGGACAGAGACCTGTGGAGACCGGTGATGGACACGCGTCTGTATAGATGATTGACAGGTGTGCACCTAGATGACCCACGGGGAGGTTTCTAGAGGAGTGGCCGATGGATAGACGCAGCCTGCACGCGGGGCTCCTTTGTCGAGGGGGAAACCTCAGACTTTGTTCCTCGGCCCTTCGACTGATTGGACCAGGCCCACCCCCACCACAGACGTGTGTTGGGTTTCCCCGACTCAGACGCCCCAGATTCGCGTTGCATAACCCGTCCCCCCACCCCGCCCCCAAGAGGTGAGCGTATTTGGAAAAGGTGACAGGAACTCATTTGCAAAGTCAAGAAAGGGAACCAGGCGCGCACGCTGGGTGGCAGATGGCCCTGTGGAAGCCGAGCCGGGTGCCCCCCGTCGGCTCCGCCATTTCAACAGCAGCGTCGTGTCGCGGACGGTAAGTCCCGAGCCTTCTTCGGGGGGCCGCTCGGACGATGTCCACTTGYCCTTCGCCTTGGGGGACCCTGCCGGGGACGCTGTTGGGTTTCTAAAACGCCCCACTGGGTGGTGCGCATCTTGGAGCGTCCGYCCACCATTTCCTCCAACCTCCACATGCCCCCAAACCAGGAGGCACGCGCCTGAGATCCCAGCGACTCCGGAGGCTGAGGCAGGAGGACCCCACGGTGGAGGCCAGCCTCGGCACCTTAGCAAGATCCCATCTCAAAATAAAAAAAAGAAATCTAGGCCGGGGGCCTGTCATCCCAGCGGCTGGGGGAGGCTGAGTTGGGAGGCCACAGCGAGGCCTCAGGGAGGCCCAATCTCTAAATAAGATGCCMAATAGGGCTGGGGACGGGGCGCAGGGGGTCGGAGGGGCCCTGAGTTCAACTCTCAGCCCTAGAGAAGAAAAAAAAAGTGGGTCGGATGGGACCCAGGGCCCTGTACTTGCTAAGGACATCTGTACCTCGGAGCCACCGTCCCAGACCCCGAGATTCTGTGGGACTTAAAATCCATCACGGGAAATGGGGCTTCGGGGTGGGGGAGGGGAGAGGCCATAGGGACCCTAATTTGCCTTCCCCTGGGTGGCCCCCCGATGGCAGCTCCCAGGTAGAGCCAGATGCCTGGGTGATGGGCAGTCCCTGGGGCAGCCGAGCCACCCCTCTGGACCAGCCCCCACCCCCGTGTAGCCAGGCAAATGCAGCCCGTCTCCCGGGACCCTGATTAGGCAGGGGGGACCTCGATTTGACCCTGTGCAAATGAGGAACCAGGCCTGAGAGCCGAGCCGGCCTCTGGGACGTCCCTCCCCACCCTGGAGGTGACCCAGATCACCTCTCCCGGGCTTGGAAGCGAGGTCGCTGGGCGATGGCCAGCGTCCTCGGCGACCCAAGGTGGAAGCCAGTGCAGCGTCCCTCACCACGCGCTCCCTCAACTTCCAGGGAGAAAGACACAGAGAAGGAGCAAAGGAGCTTCCGGGTGCTCAGAGGCCTGAGTGCCAACGGGCAGGTGGGGCGCCAGGTCCCTTGTCCCTGGGGAGCAGGCAGGGCCCTTTCCTGCATGTTCTCTGTGACCGTAGAACGCACTGGGACATGTCCTCCGTAAATGGATTGTCACTTCTCCTCCTTCTGGTTGGACATGGTGTAGAATCACCCGGGTCCTGTGGTCCTATATGCACCGGGGGTCACCATGTCCCATTCATTCCCCTGTCCTTCCTACCCCCTGTCCCTCCCCTCCCTTCAGTCCCCTCTGTCTAGTCCACCATACCTCTATTTGTCCCCTAGTCACCCTCTTATTGTGGGTTAGCATGCGCATATCAGGGAGAACGTGTGTCCTCGGTCTTTGGGGGGACTTGCTTAGCTTGGTCAGCCTGGTGTCTCCCAACTCCATTCCTTGACCAGCGAACGCCATCATTTCACTCTTCTTCGTGGCTGAGTAATATTCCACGGCGTACACGTACCACATTTTCTTTATCCATCACCTGCTGAAGGGCACCGAGGTGGCTCCCTGGGGACGGGGCTCCGGGGCCTCCTGTCCCGTGGCTCYCCTGTCCCTGGGGACGGGGCTGGGGGGGTGTCCTCCTGTCCCGTGGCTCCCCTGWCCCTGGGGCCCCTGACCCTTTCTGCGTCCCTCCCCTTGCAGGTCCGCGAGGATGAGCGCTCGTCCGCGGCGGCGGTGATGGGGCTGGTGGACATGAACGTGAGCGGCCCGGACAACGCGACGCTGCAGATGCTGCGGAACCCGGCCATCGCCGTGGCGCTGCCCGTGGTCTACTCGCTGGTGGTGCTGGTCAGCATCCCSGGTAACCTCTTCTCGCTGTGGGTGCTGTGCCGCCACATCGGTCCCAAGTCGCCGTCGGTCATCTTCATGATCAACCTGAGCGTCACGGACCTGATGCTGGCCAGCGTGCTGCCCTTCCAGATCTACTACCACTGCAACGGCCACCACTGGGTGTTCGGCGAGGTCCTCTGCAACGTGGTCACCGTGGCCTTCTACGCCAACATGTACTGCAGCATCCTGACCATGACCTGCATCAGCGTCGAGCGCTTCCTGGGCGTCGTCCACCCGCTCAGCTCCGCGCGCTGGCGCCGCCGCCGCTACGCGCTGGCCGCCTGCGCGGGCACCTGGGCGCTGCTGCTGGCCGCGCTCTTCCCGCTGGCGCGCACGGATCTCACCTACGAGGTGGACGCGCTGGGCATCGTCACGTGCTTCGACGTGCTCAAGTGGACCATGCTGCCCAGCGTGGCCATGTGGGCCCTGTTCCTCTTCACCATCTTCGTGCTCCTCTTCCTCATCCCCTTCGTGGTCACCGTGGCCTGCTACACGGCCACCATCACCAAGCTGCTGCGCACGGCCGACGGCGGCGGCCAGGACCAGGGCCAGCGGCGGCGCGCCGTGTGCCTGGCCGCCGTGGTGCTGCTGGCCTTCGTCACCTGCTTCGCGCCCAACAACTTCGTGCTGCTGGTCCACATGGTCAGCCGGCTCTTCTTCGGCCGCAGCTACTACCACGTCTACAAGCTGACCCTCTGCCTCAGCTGCCTCAATAACTGCTTAGATCCCTTCGTCTACTACTTCGCCTCCCGCGAGTTCCAGCTGCGCCTGCGCCACTACCTGGGCTACGGCCGCCTGCCCAGCGACAGCCTGGACACGACGCGCCGCGACAGCCTCTTCTCCGCCAGGACGCTCTCGGCGCGCTCCATGTCCGCCGGCCCCGCGGACGCGCTGCAGGGCACCGGCCGGCCCGGCCTCAGGAGGCAGGAGAGCCTCTTCTGAGCCTGGGAGTGACCTTTGCAAAAGGTCCAGCGGGGACACGCCGCACCCTCCACGGCCACCCTGGAGATCTGCAGAGACCACCTGCTCCTTATGGGAAGCCACTCAGGGGTCCCCAGGCCGCTGTGCCATCCAGCCTTGCGTCTTCCTGCTCACGGAACCGAACCCCAGCGGCGGTAGTGGACACGGGGGCGTGGGCCACTGGTCTGCCAAGGGGCTGCCCAGCCTGTCCCCAGCTGGGGACGAGCATTCAGCCAGCTCAGCACCCTCCCGCGCTCCCCGACTCTGCAGGCCCGACACCTCCTTGGTGACATTGGGGAGGTGACCTTGGTCTGCAATCCCGGGGTCCCCTCCCTGCACCRGGTCCCTCCAGCCGGCTGCCGTGCTGCCATCTGGGCAGGTTTCATGTGTGGTCACGCCTGGCCACGGCGGTGCCGGCAAAGGGACCAGGTGACTCTGAGGAGCTACGGGGATCCTTGGGGGTGACATCGATCCTGCGCATGGTCACCGGAAGGAGCTTCCAGGGCCGGAGGCTTCTCAGCCACAGGGGGGCACCTGGATGGACTCCACATGACGTTTGGGGACCAGGCACCAGTGAATAGCGTCCTCCCCAATTCAGGTCTGCGGGGACCTGGTGTGGGGACAGGGTCTCTGCAGAGGTCACTAGTGRAGGGTCCTGAGATGGGCTCCTCCTGGGTCAGGGGGCCCTCGTGCCATGGCCGTGTCCTTCCAAGGGACAGAGGAGGGGACACAGACCCAGAGGAGGAGCCCCATGGAGACGGAGGCAGAGACTGCAGTGAGGGGCCACCCGCCCAGGGCCACCTGGAGCCCAGGAGCTGGAGAGGCAGGAGGAGCCCCCTGGARCCCTGGAGGGAGCTCATCCGGGGACCCTGGTCCAGCCTCTGTCCCCCAGGGACACATCAGCCCCTTGGACACCGAAGGTTCCCAAAGCCACATCCCTGACAGGCCACCATCTCCATCCTGTGACAGACCCCGCACCTCCCGCTCCTCCCGGGGATGATCCCGTGGGTCCCGGAGCGTGTTTTTTTTTTCCTGGCTGTCCCCGAGCAGAACCTAGAAAGTGACACGGAGTCAGACGCGTCCAGGGTGGAAACCCTGAGCCAGCAAAATGGTCGGCGGCAGGCGCCTCTGAGGCAAAGAAGAAAAAAATCTATGAAAAACCTCAAACCACCAGCTCGGAGCCGAGCCCAGGAGCCTCACGTCCTGCGTCCTGCGGAGAATTCGAGACCCGGTGACATCAGCAAGTCTCTKCAGCTGGCGTCTGTCCCCTGGAGCACACCGGACCTGCAGCCCCCGCGGTCAGAGGGACAGGGCAGATCCAGCTTTTTTTCTCTGGACGCTCCGGGCTGCTGACCCCCCCTTTGCCCAGCCTAGGAGCCACGCCCAGGTCCCCCCCACCCCGGGGTGTCCACAGCTGCAGAGTCTCGGTCCCCGTCACCCTGTCACTTGTGGACAGAGGAAGTTTGATGGTTCTCACGTGCATCCAAGATGGACCAGGACCGTCTCTCGGGCATGAATGAGGACGGGGACACCGAGGAGGGCCACSGGTTGAACGAGGGTCGCTAGTCTAAAGTCCGTGGACCAGCGTGTCCTGGAGGCCGCCAAGACCCTCCRCCGTTTTGGATTTTCAGGGGTGTGGGGCCCAGAGAGGCTGCTCCACCTCCTGCAGGGCACAGCACAGCCCACCCCAGAGCACCCCCAGGGCAGAGACTGAGAAGCCCAGTCTAACTCGGGAGTGGTCCCCTGTGGACAGACGGTGCCCAGCCCACCCTTCAGATCTGACCCCCCAGAGTGCCCGCCCGTGGCCCTGCGGTCACTAAGGTTCCCACCCCGTGCGTGCCCCACAACAGGAATCCTCCTGAAGCTTTGCAAAAGCAGATGCGCCGACCCTCATCTCCAGCCTCCCYTCCCTGGCGGCTGGGACCCACGTGTCTGTCCCCCACCTCCCAACCCCTTCRGGGGGGCTGGAGAGGACACAATCCCCTTCCACTGGACGGCAAATGACCAGTAGTTGAGGGATGGAARGGTAGCTGTCCTGTGTGTCCTGATGACACAGTACACATGTGCGTGCCTGGATGCAGGCACCGCCCGGGACCCCGTGAAAATGCACAGGGAGCCCACGGCAGGACTCAGGGCCCCTCCGGGTGGTTTTCAGGAAGGTGGACTTCAGGACTGGCTGGCTCAAGGAAAACCGAGCCCCCAGGAAGGACGACTGGACGGGAACTCAGGTGGGTCTCCTCCCTCAAAGACAGGAGGGTGCACTGCTCTGGTGGCCTCCCCAGAGATACGTCCACCCTAAAGCCACAATTATGTTCCAGCTGTATATCTTTTTATATATTGAATATTAAACACCATGATTGTTTTTTTTTTTTTTTTGCCCTCTTTATAAATTCGGCTCCTTTCTGGCTTCTCTCAGGGGTTTGCAGTCTCGTACGGTTTTGCGCATTTTGCTAGATCCACTCCTGGGTTCGCTGCGCTTCATTAATTCGGGTTGGAAATCCTTCCCGCCACCCGCGGCCTGCACTGCGCAGGCCCCGCCTCCGCCGAGCATGATTGGCATTCGCTCTCCTCGGGCGCCACCTGCCGGCCGCCAGCGGGTACTGTGCCCAGGCTGGTCGGAGGTCCCCGTGTGCCCCGCAGGGACCTTCATCCCCACACCTGCCTCCCTAACCCTAATCCCCCGCGCCCATGCGGACCCCCATCTCCACCAACCCGTCCCCAGCGTTCCTCCGAACCCTACCCATGGCCCCACTGTCCCCTCAAAAGCTCCATTTGAAGGCTGCCCGTTGCGCTCCGTGACGCCCGCGGGTCTCTCCACGCGTGCCACCGGGGGCCACCTTGCACTCACCCACCGCGCCCGCGCGGGACACTCCCAACGTGCACATTCCAGCCCCCCATCGCGCGCAGGCACCCTCCACACCTATGCTCCCCAGGGCTGTCAGCGGGACCCCACCGGATCCTGGTGCCGTGCGCCCCTCTGCGCCTCGCCCACCGCTCATTGCGTTCCCCACCGTGCGCCCCCGCACCGCGCCCTCAGAGCACCCCAGATTCCCAGGACCCCGCAGCGCCTGTAGCACCAACCCCGCTCTCCAAGCCTCCCACTGCGCCCGCAGGGTCCGGTCTCCACAGTGCCCACCACGCCCACAGGGCCCCCCAACCTCCGCCCTCCACGGTGCCCCACATTCCTAGGCTGCCCACCGCGCGAGGGGCCCCTTCCATTTCCACGTGCCCGACCAGGGCCGCAGGGTGCCTCCTTTGCCCACGCGCCTGTGGGGGGGGCCCATCCTCCACGAGCCCCGCTGCGCCCGCAGGGTCTTCCCAGTCCCGGTGGCACCGACAGGGGACGACAGGGGGTGTCCCCGTGCCCACAGCCCTCAGGGAACCCGCCGGGCTCCCCGAACACCACGTGGCCACCCCGCGCTTGGGGGTCCTCCCATCTCCGAGCCCTCCACTGCCCCTCGGGGCCCTCCATCTCCACGGTCCCCAGGGTGACACGGAAGCCGCTCCACCTCCACCCCCGACGGCTTCCGCGGGAGCCCCCCAGGGCCGCCATCCAGGGTGTTGGCGGGACCCCACCTCCACACCGTCCCTACAGGATCCCCGACCCTACGCCCGCACAGCGCCCACAAAGGTCCCCTAGGCTCCTGCCCCCGCTGCGCCTGCGTGGCCCCGGTGTCCATGCCCAGTGCACCGTCCCCAGCGGGCGCCTAGCTTCCGCAGCCCAGGGCCCGGCCAGCTGCGCGCGCGGCCAGGGCGGGGCTTCGCTGTGCCGGGAACCCCGCGGGCGGCTGCAGCGGCGAGGCGTGGCGGGGGCGTGGCCTGGGTAGTCTGTTGTCAAGGGCGACGAGTAGGAGGGGCGCGGCTTCTGGTCTAGTAGGGGCGGGGCCAGAGCGCGCGGTTGCCGGGGAGAGGAGAGACAGGGGCGTGGTCTCGTCCCTGACAGGGGCGGGACCTGGGTGGTCCGTTGTCAAGGGAGACGAGTAGGCGGGGCGCGGCTTCTGGTCTAGCAGGGGCGGGGCCAGAGCGCGCGTTTGCCGGGAGGGGGGGGCGAGGAGTAGTAGGGGCGGAGCTTCGTCTCGGAAGGGGCGGGGCCTGAGCTCGCGGTTGCCGGGGGGCGGGGCGAGGAGTAGCAGGGGCGTGGCTTCGCCGCTGACAGGGGCGGGGCCAGGGCACGCTGTTGCTAAGAAGGAGGCGGAGTCGTGACGTGCCATCCTCTCTGACAAGGACGTAGTCTAGGCATGGCGTAGAGGCGGCACTTGCCGCCAAGCGGGGTGTGGCTTCTGAGGCGGACCTAGGACCCTGGCGCGCTCCTGCCGGGGGCGTGGCGTGGAGGGGCGCGTCTTCGTCTCTGACAGAGGCGGGGCCAGGGCGCGCAGTTGCCAAGGACTACGCGTAGTAGGGACGTGGCTTCCTCTCTGGCAGGGGCGTGGCCTAGGCGTGGCGTAAGGAGGGCGCTGGCCGCCAAAGGGGTGTGGCTTCTGCGGCGGACGTAGGGCCCTGGCGCGCCATTGCCGGGGGCGTGGCGTGAGGGGCGCGGCTACGTCTCTGATAGGCTCGGGGCCAGGGCGCGCGGTGGCGGAGGACGGGGCGTAGTAGGAACCGGGCTTCCTGTCTGAAGTAGGCGGGGAATGGGCGTGGCTTAGGGGCGCGGGCCGACGAGGGGGTGTGGCTTCGTCCCTGGAGGAGGCGGAAGTCAGGCGCTCTTGCCGGGGGCGTGGCTGGAGGGGCGTGGCTTCCCGGGCGGGGCGGGGCTCCGGCGGCCGCTTCCTCTGCGGCGGTGGCTCGGGACCTGCGGGTCGGGGCCGCGGACTCGGGTCCAGCGGAGCCATGGCGCTGTGTCCGGTGATCGGGAAGCTGCTGCACAAGCGCGTGGTGCTGGCCAGCGCCTCCCCGCGCCGCCAGGAGATCCTCAGCAACGCGGTGAGGGCCGGCAGGGCGCAGGGCAGGGCGGCTGACCCCGGGCTCCTGGGGACCCCGCGCAGTGCCACCGCCCGCCCAGTGACGCAGGACAGGGGCTAGTGACCGGGTCGGAGGGCCTCCTGACAACCGGCCCTAGTGACCAGGGGACCCTAGGGACCAGAGGGGAGGGTCCCATGATTGCATGGGGGTAACCTAGTGACCAGGGGACCCTGGTGACCAGAGGGAGGGTCCCAGTGACTGTGGGGGTGACTTAGTGACCAGGGGACCTTAGTGACCAGAGGGGAGGGTCCCAGTGACTGCGTGGGGGTGACCTAGTGACCAGGGGACCCTAGTGACCAGAGGTGAGGGTCCCAGTGACTGCGTGGGGGTGACCTAGTGACCAGGGGACCCTCGTGAGCAGAGGGGAGGGTCCCAGTGACTGTGTGGGGGTGACCTAGTGACCAAGGGACCTTAGTGACCAGAGGTGAGGGTCCCAGTGACTGCGTGGGGGTGACCTAGTGACCAGAGGTGAGGATCCCAGTGACTGCGTGGGGGTGACCTAGTGACCAGGGGTCCCTAGTGACCAGATGTGAGAATCCCAGTGACTGCGTGGGGGTGACCTAGTGACCATGGGGCCCTAGTGACCAGATTGAGGTCCCAATGACTGCATGGGGGTGACCTAGTGACCAGGGGACCCTCGTGACCAGAGGTGAGAGTCCCAGTAACTGGGTGGGGGTGACCTAGTGACCAGAAATGGGGGGATTCTAGTGACAGGGGTCGGGGCCCTTTTGGGGACCCATAGTGACCTGGTGGGGGTCTTAGTGACGGAGGTGGGGTTTTTCCTAACTGATGGGGATGGGGACGAGTGACCAGGTGGGGCACATCCTAGTGACGCGGCTCTGGTGACCACAGGCCCCAGTAATAGGGCTCTGGTCCTGCTCAGGGGCCAGAGGCTGGGGGAGGTCCTGGTGGGGGATGCGGGTCCCTGGGGAGGTGGTCCTAGTGACTGGGGTGACTGGAAGGCTTAGGGGGACCCTAGTGACCCTGGGCAGGGCTTCAGTGACCTCAGGGAAGAGGAAAAGGTTCTTTTGTGGAGCATAAGGAGGGGGATCCAGGGATGGAGGGTCCCCAGGCCCCAGGGAAGGGGACCACATGGTCTAGGGGTTGGGGTCTGCAGCGTGGGGTCCAGGGCCTAGTGGCCTGCTGGTCTGTGGGCAGGGTCAGTGGCTGCCCGGCCTGGGTGTCCTGGGGCGGTCATGGGGGGGTCCAGAGCAGAGGTGGATGGTGGGGAGAGGTGACGGGGCAGCGGCCAGTGCTGAGGGAGAAGGCCCTGGCCAAGGTGGTGGAGAGACAGGTGGGTAGACTGGGGGTGGGGTGCTGTCCAGAGGTCCACCACGGGGACAGAGGGGTAGGGCCCGGCAGGTCCAGGAGAAATGGGTGGGGAGGGCCACGTGCAGCCCCATGGGTGGGGACAGGAAGTGTCCACAGGGGATTTGCCCCCTCACGGTGGGACACTGTGAGTTCACTGACCTTTGGGTATGTCAGAGGCCACCTGACTCCCCGGAGCTGCGACCCCAGGGCCCCAATCAATACTGCCCTGTGCCCTGAGGAGACAGATCAGGCAGCGTTTCCATGGCTGTGTGTTATAAGGGGATGTATGGTCGCGACTAACAGGGTCATTCAGCCGGACGTGGTGAATCATCGATCTCTTGCTATGGGATGACTATTGTAATTGGTATAATCATTTAAGATGTGGAATCAGCGAAGTTGAGCTGTTAACGTGTGTGTTATAATGTAACGTAGCATTGCATTTAAATGTAAGAGTATATCGTTCAGAATGCAGGATGAATGTCGCTCATCTGTAATTACCGGCCACTATGTAATCACTATTATAAATATTATGGCCTGGGGATTGAACCCCGGGACCCCGACACGCTAGGCAAGAGCTCTGCCACTGAGCCACATCCCCAGCCCTTTTTATTTTTTTTATTTAGAGACAGGGTCTCCTTAAGTTGCTTTGAGACAGAGTCTTACTAAGTCGCTGAGGCAGGAGGCTCATGAGTTCAAAGCCAGCCTCGGCAACTGAGAGAGGCCCTAAAGTTGCCAGCCTCCTGCCTCGGCCTCCCCTGTGGCTAGAGTGAGGATGTGCTCGGCCACGCCCACATGATCATTTTGGACACAGAACTGATGGAGTGTGTCCATTGCTAGGAACTGTAATGTAAAATGCTGTCCCATTGACTGTCCTGTGTCACTCAGGGTAGAGAATGACCCGGTGACACGTAGGTAGGAGAGTGTCACATGCTAGTTACTGTAGTGCTGTCATTTAGGACACAGAATCAGCGGGGCGGAGTGGTAGGTACCAGGAGCCACCATGTAACCATGACAGTTCCGGCAGTGTGTCTGCCTCGCCCAGCCTTTTCCAGCAGTTCCGAGGTCCCCAGCAGCTGGTGGCCCTAAATGACGACTGAGCCACCTGGCGGGCAGCTGGGGAGAGGGACAGAGCGCGGGAAGGTGCCCGTTTTCGGCAGACCCAGCCCTCCTGCACCGCCGCCTGTGCCTGTGCACTGCTGCGCCATTGCGCGCTCCCCTGCCCCTGGCGGCCTCCGGCCCCCAGACGCTCCTGTGTGTTCCAGGGCCTGCGGTTCGAGGTGGTGCCATCCAAGTTCAAAGAGACGCTCAGCAAAGCCTCCTTCCCCAGCCCCTACGCTTACGCCATCGAGACGGCCAAGCAGAAAGCCCTGGAGGTGGCGCACCGACTGCACCAGGCAAGCGGGCTGCCCTGCTCCCTCGCTGGGTGGCACTAAGGGACCTCGGGGCGCCAAGTCGGCGCACGCAGCTCCGCACCAGGCCGTGGCAGGAGTGGGGCTGGCTCCTCTGCGGCCCTTAATGCAGGGGCACTCGACCACTGGGACATAAAATAGGGCTGGGGGTGAGTTGGGGCCTCTCTAAATTGCTGAGGCTGCCTTTGAACTCACAGTCCTCCTGCCTCAGCCTCCCGAGCTGCGTGTGAGCTTCTGTTACAGTTAATAGTCAGCTGGTTCAAGACTCGCCGTTCATATCCGTCTCTGTTAGTAGGAGACAATGTTGCAGCGAACGTAGGACCGCAATCTCGGACCTACCACGCGGGTTTCCACCGCCGGGTGTTACACCGTGACACTCTACTGCAGTGTGGACGTTAACACACAATTACTCTTGCTTTTCTGCTGCTGTGTGCTAACTGTGTGATGCCCTGCTATGATTATTAATAGGACCCGGTACTGAAGGGTCGCTGAGTGACAGTGTAACAGGCATCATAATTGATACCCAGGGAACTTAAGGCACGGGTCAGGGTAGGGTATTGCTGATGGTGTAACTGACCCTAAGGGCCACCACGCCCACCGTGATGAATACAGCCGAGTGCATGGGGGGCGCAGGGTTAAGGCAGCTGATGGCGGAGTGGGATGGCACGGGCAGGGTTGGCAGGGCTGGTCCTTAGGGTAGGGTGCGTGCCAAGGAGGCAGGATCCTATAGAAGGACTAGAGCCACCTGCGCGGGGTGATGCGCCCGCACGCGCGGGGTGATGCGCCCACACGCGCGCATGCGCTCCGCGTTGCCGGTAGAGTACCGCGCTCCCCACCGCCTGTGCGGTGCTGCGCCCTCGTGCGCGCTCCCCTTGGGCACAATCAGTGGCTCCTCTATTGGTCCCCGTGCTGGGTGCTGGGCCCCGATGCCTAGGACCCCTCCCAGCTAAGGCTGGCGTCCAGCTGTGAACAGGGAGGTGGCCGTCACTGTCGCCCCGGGGTCACTGAGGCCGTGCGCCAATTGCGCTGAGTCTCGGGCTTTCGGCCTGGATGGCTTCCTGGTTCAGAAGGCCGTCCCCGGAGGGGTCCAGGGGCACCTGCCCCGGGCTCCAGGAGTGGCCTTCAGGACATGGTGTTGCACCAGCCCTGCAGGGGGTCACGCTGGGGACCTTCCCCCAGAAGTCAGCTGAGTGACAGCGACACCCGCAAGTGAGGGGGAGGCCATGGGAGGCCGGGGGAGCCCACCTGAACCTGGTCTGCTTGCCTGCAGAAGGACCTCCGGACGCCCGACGTGGTCATCGGGGCGGACACTATCGTGGTGAGTGCCCCGGGGGTTGCGGAGCTGGGCGTCTGTCTGCTGCGGTTCCCACACGCAGGGGCAGCGGGTGTTGCGCTGCTGTGGTTGGGCATGTGCCGTTTCCCAGGGCTGCAGGGACGGTGCCACCCCCCAGAGCTTCCAGCGCAGCCAGCGACCACTGGGGGTCTGAGCCCCCTGTCTGCATGGACGTGGGCGGGGCTTGTGTCCGAGGCTGGGGAGAACGTGGCGCCACGCCCCACGGCTGTTCTGGCCTATAGATGTGCGTCCATCTCTGCCTTATCATCCCATGGCCATCTGTCCTCTGTGTGGCCTCTGTCCACATGTCCCTCTTTGTTGGGACAGGGTCTTGCTCACTTCCGAGGCTGGCCTTGAGCTTGCAGTCCTCCTGCCCCGGCCTCCCAGGCTCTGGGTTCCACGTGTGGGCCACCACGCCTGCCTGGGGTCTCCTTTGAGGAGACCAACAAACACATCCTCGTTCGGGATGGACACGTGGATATGGCGGCCACCTGTGCTAATGCCCTGAATTGTCACTCTGCACTGGTGAACCTCGTGTGTCAGTTTCGTTTCAATAAAAGAAATGAGCCGGGCACGGTGGCACCCGCCTGCGGCCCAAGCTGCCCAGGAGGCCGAGGCAAGGGCGTGGCCAGCTCAGGGGCCGCTGGGCACCAGCAGGACATCTCCCAGGGCTGGGTGGGGCTCCCCTGGGGGAGCTCGCCTGGCATGGGGGAGGCCTGGCCTCTACCCCAGGGCCTGAGAGTAAGGGGCCGTGAGCGCTCAGGTGGCCGGGGAGTGGGCAGTGGGGAAGCCTTGGGTCCCTTTCTTGCAGGCAGTGGACGGGCTGGTTCTGGAGAAGCCCGTGGACAAGCAGGACGCCTACCACATGCTTTCAAGGTGGGCGCCGGTTCCCCCCAGGCCTCCTGGGCTGCAGGTCCAGCAGAGCAGGCCCCGGCGGGGTGGACGGGGCTAGGGGCCCTGCTGGCGGCCTCCTGGGGTGGTGATCCCTCCGGTCCACACGGGGCCCCCAGATGAGATTGACCAGGCCTTTCCTGGGGACCGTGGCTGGACGGTGGGGCAGCCTGGCGGGGGTGGGGCGGGGATATGACGCTGTCCCCATGGCCGCTAAGTGCCCGCTGGGCTCTGGGCCTCGTAGGTTGAGCGGCAAAGAGCACAGCGTGTTCACCGGAGTGGCCATCGTCCACTGCACCACCGCAGGTAAGGGGCAGCTGCCGCCTCCTGAGCACTGGGCAGGCGGCTGCCTGTCCCTGCATGTGGGGAAGGGAGGACTCTGCCCACTGCCCGGGAAGGACTGGCCTGTGTGGAGGGTTGGGCGCCTCTGCACAGCGGTGTCCAGCTCCCTCCAGGGCTCCAGGGGGCTCCTCCTGCCTCTCCAGCTCCTGGGCTCCAGGTGGCCCTGGGCGGGTGGCCCCTCACTGCAGTCTCTGCCTCCGTCTCCACGGGGCTCCTCCTCTGGGTCTGTGTCCCCTCCTCTGTCTCTTGGGAGGACACGGCCATGGCCTGAGGGCCCCCTGACCCAGGAGGAGCCCATCTCAGGACCCTCCACTGACCACCTCTGCAGAGACCCTGTCCCACACCAGGCCCCTTGGTCACCTGCAGAGCTGGGGGGGTCTCCCGCAGACCCCCGAGTTTCCCACAGGTTGCTGCCCACAGCCCGGGCCCTCATGGCCACCCCCAGCTCCTGTCTGAGGGTCCCCAGGAGACCAGCCCTGTCCCCGTGGCCCTCCCCGCTGCTGGCTCCGTGTCCTGGCTGCTGATGCTCCCTCCTCCTGCTCCTCCGTCCCCGCTGAGCCTCCGCCTCGGGCACACTCAGGCGCTGACCGCCGGCTCTCGTCCGTGCAGACCGCCTGCTGGAGACGCAGGTCTCGGAGTTCTACGAGGAGACGAGAGTGACCTTCTCGGAGCTGTCCGAGGACCTGCTGTGGGAGTACATCCACAGCGGGGAGCCCATGTGAGTCCGGCCGGGGAGGGGCACCCCTGCTGGACGCTCCCCCCGGGGAGCTGGAGCGGGTCCCGGGAAGAGGGCAGAGCCTGGCTCCGGCCCTCATGGCAGCCGGGCAGCGCCCAGGGGCTGGAGGCCCGGGCAAACCCGCGCATGCGCGCTCCTCCCCGCAGGGACAAGGCCGGGGGCTACGGCATCCAGTCGCTGGGGGGCATGCTGGTGGAGTCGGTCCGCGGGGACTTCCTCAACGTGGTGGGCTTCCCGCTGAACCGCTTCTGCAAGCAGCTGGCCCAGCTCTACTACCCGCCCCGCGGCCAGGACGTGCGGAGGGTCAAGCACGACTCCATCCCGCCCGTGGACAGCTTCGAGGCCCTCGGTGACCTGGACGCGGGCCACCCGGGGCCTGTTCAGAGCCACGTGGACCCTGGCGCTGGCCCCGGCTCCCCGGGCAGCCTGAGGGGCGTGTCGGAGGCGGAGGGGGACTCAAGCGAGGCCAGTTGCAACAGGGCGGTGTCGGCCCAGCCCCCGTTCCCGGCCGGCCTCCTGGACCTGATAGACGGCTTCAAAGTGTCCAAGGTACCGTGGGCGAGGGGCCCGCTCCTTATAGACGCGTCTTTAGTCACGTGCCAAGGTCCTGGGGTAGGGCCGCGGCAGGGAGCGCATCCGGGGATGCTCGGGATCTCCGTGCGAGAACCGAGTGGGGTCCGAAGCTGATTGCTCCCGGCAGCGTCCAGCTCCACCGGGGGCGCGGGAGGAAGGCCCTGGCCAGCCCCAGCCCTCAGCGCGCCCTTCCCGCAGGCCCTGTTCACGGCCTGCAGGCTCAAGGTGTTCGACCTGCTCAGCGACGGCGCGCCCCGGGGGGCGGCGGACGTGGCCCGCGCCGTGGACGCCTCCGTGTGCGGGACCAGGAGGTTGCTGGAGGTCTGCGTGGCCCTGGGCTTGCTGCGGAAGACGGAGCAAGGTGACCGCCGGGGGCTTGGGGGACCCCGGACGGGCCTTAGCTGGAGCAGCCGGGCGCACCGGGCAGATGAGGCGGGAGGTGGGGGCTGGGGGAGAAGGGAGGGAGGAACTGTCCATGGCCGAGTCCGTCCCGCGAGGCTGACCAGGAGGGACGGACACGCTGACAGACGGATGGCTCTACCTGGTTCTGCAGCTGGGTGGGCGCATGGTGGGAGGGACAGTGGAGATCGTGGACAGGCTGGGTGACCGGCGGACGGACAGACAGATGACAGACAGCTGGGTGGACGGATGCTAGGTGGAGACGGTCCTGCCCGCTGGGCTGCTCCGAGCAGCGAGCCGTGATCGGATGGTGGCGCTGGCTGCTCGCTGGGCAGGGTGTGGTCACCCTGGACAGCAGCGCCGCCGCCCGCTCTGCAGGTTACAGCAACACGGAGCTGGCCGGGCGGCACCTGGTGTCCAGCGGCGGGCACTCCCTGCACGGCCTCATCCTGCACAGTGACCAGCGCACCTGGGACCTCTTCAGCCACCTGGAGCGCACCCTGCGGGAGGGACCGCACGGCGGGGTTCCCGGGGACCAGGAGGTGAGCGCAGAGACTCCGCCCACCCAGGGCGAGGGGCGGGGCCSGTGAGCACCCGGATGGCTCTGCCCACCCGAGGGACAGGGGGGCCRCCRGGTTTGGGAGGTCRAGGGGCCTCSCCAAGGACGSACATTCCTGGTCAGCTGTGGCCCCRCAGGCYGCCTGGCCCGGGCTCCTGATCCTTTGAGCTTGGCAGTGCTCCTGGCTGGAACAGAGTGGGCGGCCAGTGCTCCCCGATGCCCAGCAGCACCCGAATCCCCCATCGAGGGACAGTCCGCAGGTCCCTGAACTCGCCGCCCTTTCTTTCCGTCCCACKCTGGCGAGTGCCCAGCCCTTATTTGGTATTTTATTGTATTTTTCTTTCAGGGATGGAGCGAGGGGCCCTTAACCATGGTCCCCAGCCCTTGTTAGTTTTTATTTGGAGACAGGGTCTCACTAAATGCTTAGGGCCTCCCCCAAGTTGTCCCGGCTGGCCTCCAGCTTGCAGACCTCCTGCCTCAGCCTCCCGGGCAGCCGGGATGGCAGGTGTGAGCCACCGCACCTGGCAGCCCCTTTATTTCTGAGACACGGTCTCCCAAGCTGACTTGGCTGCCCTACACTGGAGTCTCCCTGCCTCCGCCTCCCGGGCAGTTGGGATGAGGCCTGCGCGGCCTCCCCAGCCCGGCCCCCAAGCTCCCTGCTGGGCCACACAGGTGCCAGATGGCTGTGGATCGCGGCGTTCCCAGCTCCCTCAGACCCCTTCTGCCCTAGGGCTCCCCCTGCCGGGAGACGCAGCTGCAGGCCCTGAAGGCCGAGCACACCCTCTCCACGCTGACCGCCCGCCGCCTGGCCTCGGCCTTCGACCTGTCGCGGTTCTCCTCCGCCTGCCTCCTGGGAGGTGGGTCAGCCCTTCCTCCTGACCGCACYTGGCGCTGATGAGACTGGCCGAGCAGGCCGCGGTTCATGAGCCTCAGAGGACCTCCGCTGGGGGCCCAGGGGGGAGGTCCCTCGGGTGGCCGGGTCTGCTGCAGAGGCCCCTCCTGGTGGCTGTCCAGAGGKGCAGAGGCTGGAAGCCCCTGGCCAGGTCCAGTTCTTTCTAGTTAATCCTTTTCACTCCAGCCCATCCTTGCCCCTGGGCAGAGGGGGGAGGAGCACATAGAGTCCCAAGGAGCCTGATGGGCTCAGGGAACTGGGCGGACTCCCTGGCCACCCGCCTGCATTTCCCCATCCTCTGCACCCAGCTCCTCCTGGGGGGCCAGAGTGGCTGCGGCAGCACCAGCCATCACGTCTGCATTCAAGGAGGAATCAGTGCCAGCCCCACTGACCTCCGCCAGGTGTAGTTTGCACTGCTGGCCTCAGTGCTGACCCTCAAACATGGTCAGGTTCACCCATGGAGAGTGCAGGCTCCCCAGGCCCCTAAGGGCCCACAGGGTCCCCACATGTGTGTTTGGTCCCCTGCAGGCTGCAGGGGCGCCCTGGCCTGGGAGCTGGCCCGGGAGTGCCCGAGGCTGGAGGTGACGGTGCTGGACGTCCCCGACGAGCTGCAGCAGGTGTCCTGCTTCCAGTCCCAGGACGGCCCGACGGCCCGCGTCAGCTTGGTGCCTGGTGAGTGCCACGTGGTGACCTTGGCCAGGCGACATCCCCCCCTGTGCGGAAAGCACCCGTGTCCTGTGCCTGTGTGAGCCTGTTTCTGTCCCCGGGTGTCTGTGACCTTGGAGTAAGGTGAGCGGTGTTGGACGCAGTCGTGGGGTGCACAAGGACCAAGATGGACTTCCGMAGGTGTCCATCGGGACCCCCAAGGAAGGAAGGCCATAGGTTAGACTGCCGGAAGCACTTCCCGGTGGTGCTGGGGATGTTGCTCTGGACCTGAGGAAGTCTCCTGACGGCCTGGGCACTGCTTAGTTCCCTCCCACGTGTCCACCAGAGGCGGCAGCCGGGRCCCAGGGCTCAGGCCCAGCACGGCTTGGGACTTCAGAGAAAAGGGCAGTGACCGCAGACCTCACCTGCGGACCGTCCACCGCCCTCTGCCTCCTGCCTGCCATCCCCCGCTGACTCACAGTTCCTGCCCCTGCTGCCCTGGGCTCCCGTCCGTGGGCCTTTCCCTGTCCCCTCCTGGACAAGGCAGAGCTGGGAGTAAACAACAGAGAGGTTTCTGCACCCACAGGAGGAGACCAGCACCCAGTGTGTGGGTCCCCTGGGCGGCCACCCCAAGCCCCCAAACCAGGCCCTTAAAACGAACTCTAAGGCACGAGTCCAGGCCCCAGCCCTGGGGGACAGAGGCTGGACCCAGGTCCCCAGCTGAGCTCCCTCCAGGGCTCCAGGGGCTCCTCCTGCCTCTCCAGCTCCTGGGCTCCAGGTGGCCCTGGGCGGGTGGCCCCTCACTGCAGTCTCTGCCTCCGTSTCCACGGGGTCCTCCTCTGGGTCTGTGTCTCCTCCTCTGTCTCTGGGGAGGACACGGCCATGGCCTGAGGGCCCCCTGACCCAGGAGGAGCCCATCTCAGGGCCCTGGACTGATGACCCCTGCAGACACCCTGCTGGACTCCGTCTGGAGCCACCCTGGGGAGTCAGGCTGCGTCTGTGGTCCCAGCTGCCTCTCCTGCCTCTCCACCAGGTGACCCGTCCAGGGACGCCCTGCCCRCGGCTGACCTGTACATCCTGCCCCGCCTGCCGCCCGAGTGGCCGGACGACAAGGTCCACCAGCTGCTGAGGAGGGTCGCAGGGTGCTGCCGGCCGGGTGAGAGCGGGTCCCCTTTCCCACCCAGAGGGTCGGGGACTGGAGCAGGGGTCATCCCACCCCGGGGTCCAYTTCACAGGGGACAGGTGGCCACCCAGCCCTGCCTGACTCCAGGACGGTGGGGACATGGGTGACGAGGCTCTGAGGATCGTGTGTCCCAAAGCCACACTGCTGTGCTCTGCTGTGGAGTGGCTGGGCTGTGCTGGACGCTGGGGTCCAGACCTGCCCTCCGTGGACAGGACAGGGGGCACACTAGTGACCCCAGGGACAGAGGAAGGTCACCAAGAGCCCAGGATGTCACCTTGGCCTTTCAAAGGCTCAGCCCTGTCCCGGGGTCTGCCTGGGTGCACAGTGGCCCTGTGGCCGTGGCTGGCCCCTGGCCATCGCCCGTCCTGGGGCCGGGAGTCCTCTGCTGCGCAGCCGGGACCGCGGTTCCGGGCGACGCACAGCTGCTGGTTGGGCCTGTGCCCCGCGATCCGCGGTGTCCAGGGCTGGGAGCCCCCTGCAGTTACGGAGGAGCGGCCAGCGCTGGCCAGCGAGCGACACCTCGGGCCTCCTACCCTGGGCGCTCCCGGAGGTGGGGATGCCCCTGCCCCTCCTGCGCCCGGCTCTCGCCACCACGGCTCCTGCCAGGACCCTGTGCTGTGGCCGGGCCCCTTCCCGCTCCCTCGTGCTGTCCACAGGTGGCCGCCCACTGGCCTCCCGTGTCCAGCTTCCCCGTCCCCGAGGGTCACGTGCTGCAGCCCAGGCTGCCCTGGGTTCCCCAAGCGCTTGAGCATCAGGAGCTGGCCCCGCCCACAAGGCCCCGCCCACCCATGGACCCGCCCACAAGGCCCCGCCCACGCAGGCCCCGCCCGCCCGTGAGCAGCGCTGCTGACCCTCCGCCTGCTGCCCGTGTCCCCGCCCGGCGTCCTGTCCTGCTGACCCCGGGGCCCCGGTGGCGCTGTCCCTGGTGCAGACCCCCGAGGTGGCCCACGACTCCAGCCCCTGCCTGTCCCCACAGGAGGCGGCCTCTTGCTGGCGGAAGTTGCCCTGGACGAGGACCCGGGGGCCGCCCGGCGTGGCCTGAGGCAGAAGCTGGACCTGCTGGTGCAGACGCCGGGCAGGGACTGGACGCTGGGCGAGGGCCGGCGCCTGCTGGAGCAGCACGGCTTCGGGGACATGCAGGTGGCGCCCGCCGGGGACTTCCCGGGCGCAGTCCTGGGCATCCGCGTGCGCCCCTGACGCCCCGCAGTGACCTTTGTGTGGGCATCGTGGAGGGAGCCCGTCGCGGAGGGAGCCCGGGGTCCCCACGCTGTGGGCTCACGTGGGCACGTGAACGGGGCCTGGCGGGACAGAGAGAATAAAGCCACCTTCCTGGCTCCGTGCGCCCTGCTCTGAGCCCTGACCCGCCGCCCGCCTCCCAGGCCCGCGCGGCCCGCAGACCTGCCCGCAGGCGGCGGCCAGTCTCCGCGAGGTGCTGACCCTGAGGCCTAGCCACAGCTCCCGGGCTGGCGGCGCGAGGTACGGCCTCCATCTGGCCTGGCGCAGGCAAAGCCCAACCCACGGCCAGCGCCGGAGCTCGTGGCTGGCCTGTCCCCGCCCTRTGTCCTCTGCTCCTTCCTCGTGCTGCCCCTTCTCCACTGCTGGCCGAGTGGAGTCCCCSGGGCAGGGTCCCTCCCAGGGCCACCACACCCCGTCCCAACACGGCGGCCTGGGGAACCGGTGCTGTACGCACACCCTCGGGGCTGGGCCGGCTTGGTGTCCTCAGGATGCAGCCGGGAGACCCTGAGCGTGGCAGGCGGGGACCTCCACTCTGCCYTCCCAGCCGCGGGTCGGAGGGAGCCTCCGGTGGACGATGCGGCTACTTTGAAAGCGAGGCTTGCTGACGCCGGTCCACGGGGGTAGCCCCCAGCCCGGCCAAGAGCCAGGCGCGCTCTCCCTCTGCAGACAGACAGCTGCGGCTCGAAGTGACCTAGCGGGCTTGCTGCGGGCATGGAGGAAGGGCCCCCTGCCAGCCCCCACGGTGGGCAGGGAGAGCGCACCTGCCCGTTCTGGATCTGCATGAGAGGCACAGGTGACATAGACGCACAAGGGCACAAACACCGTGCCCGTGTTTACAGGAGTGTGATGTGGRCTTGTGCAAGACCGTCCTCTGCTGACCACGTCCCTCTTAACACCTTTCAAATGCATGATGGACGCCTGGCTTCGAAGACTCTGGCTTCTTCTCCAGCCGCTGGCCCTCAGGCGGGTGGCACTGGGCCAAGACGGCCCCACCCTGTAGAAGCTTCCAGGCACCGGGGAGCAGACTGGCCACCTAGGTCCCCTGCAAAGGCCGCTCCAGGCTGTGAGGGACGCAGGTCAGAGAGGAAGGGCGGAGGCCGACGTAGGGCCCTCTGTGGAGACACCTCTGTCAGAGAGGCCACCGCTCTGTCCCAGGGGCCACCCATGCCCCACGCCATGCTGGCTGCTGCAGTCCGAGGCCCAGGAGTGACCCCTGGAGCCACGCATCCCTCTCCACCGCTGCCCTGCGTGAGGACCCACAGAGGCCAGCGGCAGGTGTCCCCTCCTGCTGCCCTGCAGGAGCACTTCCCACGGGTGACCACACCCCTCACAGCTGAGGGACACTCTCCTTGATGCGTCCTCCCACAGACACTGCCCAGCGCCCCCCCCCCCCCCCCCCCCCCCCCCCCCCCCCCCCCGGGCACCAGCCCCAGGCAACCCCGGCCTTCAGGCCAGGAAGAGACGCCAGAACCACGTAGAGGCCACAGGGAGGTCCCCGGGGCTCCTGGACCACCCGTCCCTGTGTGTCCCCTGGAAGGGATTAAAGAGACTTGGAGAAACCTGGCCACAGGCCACTGTCCTCACTTGTGGGAGCACTGTCCAGACCACCTGCTGCGGGTGGGCCAGGTCCCTGCCCATGTCCCTGTGCAGTGGCTTCCGGGACCCAGACACCAGCAGGATCCACGAGGGCAGGGGTCAGCGCAGGTCCCCAATGGGCAGCACCCTGCTTTCCCTGGAAGTCACTCACTCACTCCCTCGGGAGGCCCTGGGCGCCTGCTGCATACCAGAGCTGCCTGCGAGATCCAGCTCTGGATAAGCCAGCCTTACCTGGGCCCTGGGAGGACACAGATCAAGGACAACCAACCTCGGAGGGGACAGCCCCTCCACCAGGCCCCCACGGCCCTTCTGGGGAACAGTGGCTTTCTAGGGACATATTTTTGCAGCACCAGGGGGAGTCCCCTGGCTGGCTGAAGGGGGTCTTGGGTGGGATGCAGGGTAGGGACACCGTGCACCCTTCCTTTCCCCAGCTGCCCTTGGTGGGGGTCCCTGTCCCCCCCCCTGAGGTGTGCCTGACCCCTCCTCCGTGTCCCCACTCCCCCAGGGCACACCCTTGAGGGTACAGGGGTTACTGGCTCCCAGAGCTGGATCAGGAAGCACATTCCAGGAGCCAGGCCTGACCCACACTGACCAGACGGAACTGGATCTCAGGCTGCAGCTGTCCCTCCCAACCCCTTCAGGCCCATTCTGTAACCTCAGCCTAAATGTCTGTGAGACCCGGCCTCCCTGGCCCCCTGCTCAGAGCCCCCAGAGGGAGCCTGGCCAACCCCGGGGGAATCATCTCCTCCCTGTCCACCCTGCACCCCAGCCTCAGGGACGCACAGTAGACTCCCAGGGCCAGACCCCACGTCCACCCACGGCAGCAGAACAGGCCCAGGGACAGGAGAGACAGAGGGAGTGAGCAAGGGAAYGGGGAGCAGGGAGAGGAGAGGGGTCCGCCTGGGTAGGCCTGGCCAGCGCGGGCCCCGCATGCACGAGGCCCTGAGGTCCAGTGAGGGAGGGACACAGAGAGAGGAAGAGGAGCAGAGGGACGTGGAGGAAGGGAAGAAAGGCAGGCAGGGGTGGACGGAGTGCGGGGRCGGCCTGGGGACCCTCGGGCCACGTGCATTCCACAGGGGGACAGACAGGCTGTCACGGCCAGGGCTCCTGCCCCGGTCAGCAGCTCCCAGGGAGCAAGCGCGAGGTGGGAACACAGGGCACGTGGAGGCCGAGGGCACCTAGCGGAGACACCCCAGGTCCCCGGGGACAGAGGTGTCAGGGAGGGGCTCCAGGACCCGCAGGTGGACTCAGGATGGGGCTGAGGTTGGGCACGCACAGGGGCGGGGGGACAGGTGTCGGGTCTGGGGGCGACAGGGGCCAGGTCGGGGCACCACGTGTCGCGAGCACAGACATCGAGAGAAGCGGGACACACGTCCTGTCGGGGTGGACTGGGCCTCGCGGCAGGACTGCAGGCTGCAAGGCCCCCCACGGGAGCCACGCATCCGGACCACGCCTCGACCTTGTCAAGGTCACAGCCACCGCCGCCGCAGAGCCCCCGRCCCGCCAGGCGCAGAGGCGGGGCCCGGCTCCCGACAGGCCTCGGGGCGGGGCGGCCCCTGGGCCCAAGGCCAGGGGCGCAGGGCGGGGCGGGGCACCCGGCAGCCCGCGGGGGCGCGGCAGCGTGCGGGGGCGGGACGTGGGCGGGCGGCGCGGCCAATGGGGGCAGCGCGCGGGCCGCGGGGCGGGGCGCGAGCGGGCGGCACAGCCAATGGGCGCGGCGCGCGGGSCGCGGGGCGGGGCGTGGGCGGGGCGTGGCGGCCTTAGCGGCTGCGCGCTGGCGGCCCCGTCCTTTCGGTCCCGGTGGCGGCAGCGCTGCGCTAGCGGCGGCCTTCCTCCGGCTCTCGGCGCCCGCGCTCCGGCTCTCCGCCCGCTCCGCTGACCCCGCGCCACCATGACGGAACAGGCCATCTCCTTCGCCAAGGACTTCCTGGCCGGGGGCATCGCCGCCGCCATCTCCAAGACGGCCGTGGCCCCCATCGAGCGGGTCAAGCTGCTGCTGCAGGTGGGCGCGCGGCCGGCCCGGGGCTGGGGTTGGGGCGCGCGGGCGGCTGGGCCGCGTGCACCCGGCCGGCGGGAGGGCAGGCAGGCGCCGGAAGTCGGAGGCCGTGGACGCTTTGTCCGCGCTGCGCCGACTTCCGGGGGCTTGGTCACAGGGGCGCTGCCGCATTTCAGGGGCGGGGACTCTGCGCCTGCGCATTGGGCCCAGCGCCYTGGGGGCTGCGRCGCSGCCTGTCAGGCGCATGCGCGTCTGCGTAGCTGCGCAGACCGGCCTAGTGGCTGTGACCTTGAGCGGGTCACGGGGACCCGGTGGGCTTGGACAGTGGCCTTGGGCTGCCTCCAGGCTTGCATCTTGCAGTGTGACCCTTTCCGTTACCAGGACCAGCGACCCCAGGCTCCAGACACTGGACGTTGGTCCTGGTCTGAGTTTTCACAGTGCACCATGTAGCTAGCCATCAGTCCCCGTGAGCTGTGCGCCCTTGAGGGTGTCCCACGGAGTAGCCCGGGGTTGGCAACACTGTTGCAAGGACCGGGTTACAGTGWAACGTTGCGAGCGCAGATGGCCTGATGACCACTTAGGACCCAGAGGGGCTGCTCAAGGTGGAGGCCGTCCACTGGTCAGCCTGCGCAGGCGCAGTTTTCCCAGGACACCTGCTRTGCGCGCAGGTGGGCCAGGTGCGCAGTGCCCTCCTCTGACCTCCGCCCTGGGCCTCCCCGCAGGTGCAACATGCCAGCAAGCAGATCGCGGCCGACAAGCAGTACAAGGGCATCATGGACTGCATCGTCCGCATCCCCAAGGARCAGGGCGTGCTGTCCTTCTGGAGGGGTAACATGGCCAATGTCATCCGCTACTTCCCCACGCAAGCCCTCAACTTCGCCTTCAAGGACAAGTACAAGCAGGTCTTCCTGGGCGGCGTGGACAAGCACACGCAGTTCTGGAGGTACTTCGCCGGCAACCTGGCCTCCGGGGGCGCGGCCGGGGCCACCTCCCTGTGCTTCGTCTACCCGCTGGACTTCGCCAGGACCCGCCTGGCGGCCGACGTGGGCAAGTCGGGCGCGGAGCGCGAGTTCAAGGGCCTGGGCGACTGCCTGGTGAAGATCACCAAGTCGGACGGCCTCCGCGGCCTGTACCAGGGCTTCAACGTGTCCGTGCAGGGCATCATCATCTACCGCGCGGCCTACTTCGGGGTCTACGACACGGCCAAGGGTGAGTGAGGCCGGAGGCCAGGCAGCCTCCCCCCCCCCCCCCCCCCCCCCCCCCCCCC